ACTAAGTCTATCTTGTGTTAACTTTTAAGTTAATATATACGATTCCAAAATAACATACAAGACAATCAAATATCGCATTTGCTTTATATAATTCTTACATTAATTTATTTTAATATAAATAAAATTAGTCAACACACATAATTATGAGTACTAAAAGAACTTAACTAAAAAGTGTAACTCCGTATGCCTTATTTATGTATTTAATTGATAATTGATTATGTGACCCACGTCATTTGACAGACAAAGTCAACATTGATAATTTTATCCACACACACACAGACTCAATTAAAAAGTCATATAATCTATTAAACAATAAATGCAAATGAAAATATATTTATTTCCAATGGACCCAGTCTACTATATCTTAAAATTACATTCTCCTCTCCTCCCATGTTCCTATATCTTAAAATTATGTTCACCTCTCCTCCCATGTTCCATTCAATAATCTGTACTGTGTTCAATTCTTTTCATGGATCCTTCATTCACAAGCCACTCCTAGCGATTCTACCAACACTACAAATTCCTTGTTTCTTCATTTATTAAGCATATCAGAAATTAAATCCCTCCTTCTAGTTTGCATCATGCCCATATATAAATCATAACCTACATACCGGTCTCTCTCTATCAACTTTTCTTCTTTAACAAAACTCTCTCTCTCTCTCTCTCTCTCTACATTTCATTCTTCTGTGATTCTTCTCTCTTTCCATAAATAAAAGAAACTTTCTTAGTTTTGTAAAATCAATGGGAAGAAGAAAGCATCTCTTTGCCTTCCTAATGCTTTCATTCTTGCTGCTATCTTTGGCTGGGCATAGTTGCGAGTCAAGGCACACTCAGATTTTCAAAGTTCAGCCAAAGTCTCATCAGTCTCATAATAACTTCTTTGGCTTCTTGCCCAAAGGAGTGCCAATCCCTCCTTCAGGACCTTCAAAGAAGCACAACAACATTGGATTACAAAGCTCACAGATGATTCCATAGTCCTGATCAACAACATCAACATAAAGAGATATCTTAGCTTATCAAGTAGATAGTAGCAGATGGGTAATGTATATGTACCTTTATTTTTTTCCCTCCTTCTTTTTGAGATCTATCTCTTTGGTTTTTTACTTTTTGGGATAGTTTTAAGGTGCTTGCTAGCTAGACAGTTTTAGAAGAAGAAGCTGTTGATGATGAAGTCTTAGAGGGCATATGCTGATTGTTTTCTCCATGAAGGATAATATCTCATGGTTTAGATAGCTAGCTTCATTATATTCTCGTGTACTTGTAATAGAAGCCTTAGTCAGAGGGTTCAAAAATTTCAAAATATAATCAATTTGTAATTTATAGCTTTACTTAGAGATCAAAGCTCGTGTAGGTACTTGAAAGCAAAGGGATCATAATTATTAAGGTCATAGAACCTGCAAAATGTCCAGCTACTTGCACTCCTGTTGAAGCTTCAGTTAATTATTGCAATTAAGTTTTCGGTTGGTAGATACGAACAGTAAACTAAGATTGACATAACTGATGATCTTGAAACCTTGCTTTAATTATGAGTCAGATTAACTTGATCTATGAATGAAGGTTGGTAATTACTGAAATTGGAGATTTTTTCAAGTACTTGTGAACTTGAATGCGTGTGCTGAAGCTTAAAGGGGTTTTAACTGTTGCTATGAATGACCATACTTTGTCATGAAATTTCGGGGAGTGACGTGGGAATCGTCTAGAAGTTGCGTTTTGATTTGATTTGATTTATAAAGAAATGCGTACGACCCTTGTTTTATTATATATTCAAAGTTCAAACAAACCCTATACTCTCATTGTACAGCTATATTGCTTTAGCTTCTTCCCTAAGTTCTAATTTGTCCTTTTCCTTGTCTTCGGTTCAGCATTATGAAGTGCGCTGTGATTCATTTATTCTTGGGTTCTGGTATAATGTTATCTTTAAATTATTTTTAAAGAAATAATATTATTTTTAAATTATTCATTATAATAATATTATTTTTAAATTAATTAAATCAGAGTAATATTATTCCTATTGATTAAACATGCGTTATTATAGTTAGTGAGACATATTTTTTATAAGTTAAGATATAATTTTATTTTTAAATTATTTTTAGAAGAATAATGTTGTCCTTATTGTTTAAAAATTATAAAATTAAATTATTATATATAAAATAAATATAAAAAATATAAATTATAATTTTATAACTTATCAAATATAAATAAATTTTGATTAAATTAGATATGAATAGATTTAAAAATATCTGCATTGCCCTTATAAGACTATAACTATCGACATCTTTATAAAAAAATAATTTTAAATTATATTTTATACATGTAAATTATTCAAAAATAAAGTTAGTTTTTAGTAGGATTTAATTTTTAAATTTTTTTTATTTTTAAAAAATTTGAACTTTTTTTAGTATTATGTTTAAAATTATCTAGTTTTTTAAAAATTACTTTAGTTCCCAATTCAACTTCAATTTTTAACTTAATAACAGCTTAACTCTTGTCCAATTTACTTAATCATGAAAATAATGTTCTGATCCAAATTGAGTCGTTAACGATGGCTCTAATAGATAGTTATAGGTATAAATATAAATACTTTTGAGTTTACTTATATTTAATTTAACCAAGGGTCACTTATATTTTATAAGTTATAAAATTATAATTTATGATTATTAATTTATGACATTTTATTAACATACTATAAATTTTTTCTTATATTTATTTTACATACGCATTTACTATTATTTTTTAATATTATTATAATTTTATATTTATATATACATTTAATATTATTATAATTTTATTTTTGTTTAATTTTATGATTTTTAAATGATAAGGGTAACATTACTCATTTGAAAATAATTTGAACATAAAATTACACTTTAACTCATGAAAAATGAATCCTACTAACTATAGTAATGGATGTTTAAACAGTAGAAATAATATTATTCTGATTTAATTAGTTTAGAGGTAATATTTCTACGACTAGTAGTTTAGGAATAATATTGTTCCTTTAAAAATGGTTTAAAGATAAAATTATACTTTAACCCTTTATTCTTTTATATTCAATTGAATTGAATTAATAAAGTGGCATCTGAAGGAGTTTATTTCTTTCATTATAAAAAGATGAGTACATTAAAGTATTTTTAAGTTCTCAAATAGAGTTAGTACTTCATATTAACTTATTCATTTGATAAAGTTAATTGTTAAATATCTAAGAATGCCCTAAGGAAATTTAAAAAAGATATTTCATGTTATATAAAATAAAAACATTTTTTCTCTAAACATATTAAATATATACCTAAACATGTATATTAAATTGCCTAATTTTTTTTTTTCTATTCCATTGCTCATATTTTGGGAAATCTGGAAGTATTATTATGACCCACTTAGATTAATATAAATTTTGATTGTGTGAAACTGTTATTATCAATGTTAACATTTTTGTTTAATATAATTGCGTAATTCAAAACTTGAATTCAAGACCAAGAATAAGTTAATTCAACTTCCATAACCCCGGTTGAGCCAAGCACGCCTAGGTGAATTCCTTAATGTTCTGCCATGTATTGATAGTTCACACAACGAAATGAATTGACCAGTTCTTTTGTACATATATATTGCAGAATGATTATTATTAAAGTTAATTATCATGCCAAAATGACATCTCTTTGGGGTAGCTAAACTGTTTTTGATGATGTTCATTGAATTCGAATTCGATGGATGGAGTAAATTAAGGTTAATTTGAAGCCACGTGAGACCCATTTGGAAGGTCATTTTCAAGGGCAATTCCTCAAGTCAAAGGTGGGTAAAGTCGAAGTTTTGGGTTTAATTAAAAGAAGGAAATTCAAGTGGGTTTGGTTAACAAATAAGGTCCTCGCTCAGTTTCCACAGGCATTAGAAATTTCCTTTGAAATTTGAGTCTCGTTTAATTTAGCTCTTCAAGTTGGTGAACATGTTAGTGACAATATAAGAATTTTGCGGTTCCTTCTTACACATTATTATATTTTGATTGTTAAAATTTAAGTTGCACAATAATTTTTTGGTTCCTTGTTAAGCATTATATTTTTCAGATATAATTTACATAAAGTGACCAGTGATAACACAATTAAAAATTTTTTATTTTTTTTATTTCTTCCTTTCTTTATTTTAGATAGAGAGGTTCAATTTCTCTGCATTTATAGTAAATAAATGTACGACATATTTAGAGAAAAAATGGTGAAAATAAATACAATAAACTTCATATATAATCATACCCTTGGATTATTATTCTCTGTTAAACTTACCGTATAATATATTTCTAAAGGGAGATATTTGCATATCACCAAACATAATAGACGTAGTTATAGTTTGTTACCTATTTTCCATACCCCACTTTCTCTTTCTTTGCCGTCCATTTATGCAAGTCAAGAACTAAAATGACAATAAGGACTCATGGAGGACTTTTCTTGTCTGTTGGATTAGCTTCTCATAATTCCATCTTTAGCCAAGAGATTAAAAAGAGACTGAGTTTACATTAAATTAAACTACCTATTTTGTTGTGTTGCTTGATGTATTTGGGAGCATTTTCCACCAATCTTGACCGTTCCTCAATCCCTCGCTTTTTCATAGATGGCCCCACACTTTTTTTTTTGGTTGCACCCACACTTTCTTTTAAATAAAGGAAACCTCAAAATCAGAGATTGGGACCCTCAAATTAAGCACAAAACTGGTCCCATGCGAGCTATCAGTTTATGGGTTACACTTTTCATATATGAGATGTTTGTTCATGTATGTATATGATATAGCTACCAGGCAAATAGAATAAACTGAAGGATCAAGAACCAATGAGTCTCCCAACATCACATGTCAAAGTTTGCGGAGGATTTTAAATTTCATCTCTCTAAGCGTACAATTTAATGCATTGGCATACAATTGGTAGGGGAAGTGGTGTCAAAGATTTTTCTTTTTTTTTTTTTAAAAAACAAACTGTAGAAAAGTTCCAGATTTTACATGGGGATGGGAGATTCTTTGCCAAAGATTATCTCTATTGATATAATTTTTCATATATACTGTACATTACAACAGATACGTAAAAGGGGATATACCTAAATGAAATGGAAGATAGCTAATTTAAGAGCATAGGACCGAAGGCCAAAAGACTAAGAAAGGGGAAAAAATATACACTAAAAAGCTGAAAAATGGATGCATGCTTCCCTCGTACTGATTCATGCTTGACTACAATTATGCTCACTTTAACAAAACGTATTTATGGAGAACAACCCTGTGTCTACAACTTTTCCTAGGATTATGAAACAGGTGAAACTGCACTCTCTGCCCCATGAGCTGCTTGGCTTGAGGACTTCTCGGTGCTACTTCGAACATTGTACCTTTCATATACCTTCTCACGATTCTCAGACCACCAAGTCTCTGCTTGGTGCTCTCCAAATCTTCGCCGGCTGCACATTAATTGCTACAAAAGTTTAGATATAAAATAGTGACAATATTGAGAAAGTTTCAAAGTTGTCCGGTTTAAGGCAATGCTGATCATGTATGAGGTTCATGAAGCTATGAGAAGTCCAACCAAAATATACACACATAGATATGTATGCATGCATGTATGTAAGTATGAACTTAGGCTTTTCAGGCACTTGCTAATAGATTCTTCAATAGAACGATGACATTTAAAGAAAAATTGTTTTAGTCAAGGAAATGTTCAGTTACAAAAAATGCCACATGCAGTTTATTATTACACATGTCTAATCCTACTATTAAATTTCAATTTCTATGGCCCTACTGAATTTTATCACAGGTCAATCATCAGAGGTTTCTCACAGTTGGCAGCCATATGGATTATAACAGTTATACATAACCTGGAGGTGTTGGAAGATGCTAGATATAGTACCTGAACCGCACTCGTTTTAGATCTCTCGTCCCATCACTCAATGCCATGAGTGTTATATACACCCCAGGTTCATACTGTTCAATCCATTCTGCCTCAATTTGATTATTAGCTGCCAGTACAACATTCCTTAATCTTGAACCACTCTCACCATCTTGGAGAGGCCCAGAATTCCTGCCATCAGCAGAATCTAATATACTACTGCTAGTTGCCTGAAACACACCACCATTGGTAAGTCTAACATTTGGGTATTCATTTGTCCCATTGGAAGGCACAAGCACCCGGTTTTGATGGTAACGATTGGCTGCATGAGTTCCTGTGACCTCAGTTTTGTTGAAAAGAGAAGATTCAAGAACAAAAGAGGCCAGGCTAGAGCCACTGATTGACTCCGCTCTGGTATGTCCCTCCCCATTCGAGTCAGGATAGTGGATGCCATTTGGTTCCAAACTGTTTGGCAGGTAAGCTGGCCGGATGCTGTCAGTGTCATAAGCTCCTGGAGGTAGTCTCTCAGCTAGATCTTTAAGCTGAGATAATTTGAAAGAGAAATCAGTAAAACGCCAATAATTTCATTACAGTAAAAGGGAAGGTACGGAAGATCTTTATCTGTGTGTTTAAATCCCCCTCCCATCATACAAACAACAACAACAACAACAACACTAAAAATAATAATAATAATAATAATAATAATAATATAAACATATGATAATATAATTTGGACTAAAATGTATATAATTTTTCTGAACTTTGAATTACGTTAACACGATATGAAATCTAGGAAAATGACAACTTGTCAATTCCTTATTTCAGTAACATAACCTTATCTGCATATCAGCCAAAATTTAGGATATTTATGGATATAATTCAAAGTTCAAAAGAGTCATCCACACAAAAAGTTCAAGTGGATTCATTTAATTTGACTTGTCATCCTTCTATTAGTAAATTCACAATTGACAAATTTACTAATGACAACAATTACTTGCAGGACTTTAAAGTACAAGGATACATTATCAAGTTTTAAAAAGTCAAAGGATTACTTATACGTGATTCAAAATTCAAGAAAATTTAGCGCATTTTAGCTATAATTTACTAATAAGAAAAAAGGAACATTAAGATGATAATAAATTAATAATGAAATCCCATGCAATAATATCAAGAAAACTGTGACATCACTCAACAAAAATTTTCAGAATCTTGTGATCATGAGCAATTTGTACATCATGGCACCCAATTTCATAGAAGTTTAATCTGATATTCATTTTCTGAAAAGAAAACCACCATAATACGGCATGCATTACGTGACAAAAGTAAAGCACCAAGATAGAAGGCTGGCACAATTCCAGCATATATATATTAATCAGAATCTAACCTGTGCTGTAAGTGACTTTATAACTTCTTTTGCAGCTTTAGATTTAGCAGATTCCTCAGCAGCCAGTGCCATAGCTTCCTGAGTTCTGTTTTCTGCCCTTTGAAGCTCTAATTCTTGCAGATCACACCTTTTTCTCAGGCTCTCAACCTAACCAGATTTATGTTAGCTTTATTTTGATGCTCTAGATATAGAAGCAGAGATGGAATAAAATCTTGAACAGTGAAAATCAACTTTCTGGTCACTGGGGGACAAGAACTTTTGGAATGGGAACAGATATTTAATTCCCACACAGGGGAGGCATTATATACCTGAGTGCGTAACTTCAGTACTTCATGATTTAAAAGTTCATTCGTTTTCTTCAGACTGTCAGTCATACTTTTTGAGAAAGAAAGTCCTGATGTTGGAATAGGCGTAGCTGAACGAGGTGGACTTGGTCTTCTAGAAAAAGGAGAGACAGACCTAGAGCTTACTCCAGATGATGTCAGAACTGGCCTAGGAGCTGTACGTCTCAGATCAACAGCAGTAGACAAGGCAACATCTTTCAGCTGCAGCAAAGGGGCTTGTGATGTGCGAACCAGGGAGAATGTATCAGTCTTCTTCCCTTGTCTAGCTGCCTTGCTATCTAGCTGCTTTATCAAATCCATATTAGAAGGAATCGGTGACTTGGCCAACCTGATCTCAGCCTTGTCTAACCTGTCCTTGTTTTCACCAGACAAACGAGGCATGGCATTCCTTCTATTATTAATGCCAACTTCTGTCACCTTGTTCAATTTTACAAAACAAGAATCACAAACACGATATGGCTTTCCAGGATTAGGAGCCAGAGCTGCTCTCAATGCTTTCCTTGAACTGCATGAGTGGCAATGCACAAGCCCACAATTATAACAGTTGTGCCTCTTTCTTGTGAAACCAAATGGCTGTCTACAAGTAGAGCACTGAGACTGCTCAGCACCAGACACCCATTTATGAAGGCATATGGCAGCAGAGTAGTTTGAACCACACGCAATATTTTTAACATGTCTATCTTTCAAAGCCTCAACCAAAGTTGGGGTTTTTCGATCTTCAATATCCCCATGACCCAACCTTCCATTAGCACCCTTCCCCCACGTATAAACTTCATTTTTGGATGTTAAAACTGCAACATGATAAGCACCACATGCAATTTCTTCAACAGAGTCTTCAGAAAGATTGTCTTCGACCAAGCAGGGAAGCTTTCCATCAGACTGTGGATTGCCGAGTTGACCATAAACAGTGCTTCCCATTGTAAAAACACGTCCTGATGTTGTGAGGCCAACTGTCAAACTGTGACCACAAGCAATTTTACAAAAATTGTAATCAATGAGCAAAGGCACACAAGTTGGTTCAAGTCGGGCCTCCTTGTCTCCATGTCCAAGGCGATTTTTGTCTCCATCACCCCAAGTAAACAATTTACCAGATGATACACTTGCACTGGATTGTGTCACAATAACCTCGATCACAGCTGCAGTATGCCACACTCCACATGCAACAGCTATTGTTCTTAACCCTGACAATGATTGTACTTCTCTAGGATATGAAACATTCTCCCTATCTCCATGACCCAAGACACCAAATGTTCCATCACCAAATGTGAAGAGTTGCCCAGTTGAAGTTATCAAGGCTGTGTGCCATGGACCACAAGTGACAAAAGCAACTTGAAGCCCCTCTAGTAGACCTGAAATTCGTTTCGGTATCCAATGACTTACATCAGTGCCATGACCAAGAAGTCCAGCATTATGAGTTCCATCACCCCAAGTATATAGCTCCCCAGCCAATGTAACAGCGCAGGTGTGAAACTCCCCACAAGCAACAACATCAACAGTTGTAGAAGCCAGAGCTTCAACTAGACAAGGTAGAACCACATTGTTCTCAACACCATGGCCTAGACGTCCTCCAGATTCTTCACCCCAAGTAAATACTTCACCTTGCCTTGTGACTAGTGCAGCATGTTTAACGCCACATGCTATATGATGTACGTCTAAAACTACACTGGACTCCAGTGGCTTAGGCAAAAGCACATCTACCCTAGGACTGAAGTGATTGAAAATTTTATCTGCATCAACTCCCATAACATTCTCAGTGATAACCTCCCCCCATATGTATACATCACCCAGAGCATCACAATCATCTGGAGCAGATCCATGGCTGGATGAGCTGGGGGCACTTGAAACACTAACTCGAAAAGCATCTGAACCAGATCCCTTTGCTTGCATATTTGTAGGGTCTAGCAATGAATGTGATCTTTCAGAATTCACAGACTTCACCGGTCGAAAGGACTTTGAAGAAGTGTTAGGATTAGAATTCACAGAAGTATCAGGGGATTCAATATCTAGTGTACTAACTGAGCTTTCACTTGGACTAATTGATGTCAAGTCTCTGTTATCCTGAAAGTAATTCAGCCAGAAAGAATTATATCTAGGTTACCATCTATTACAACATGGAAGCAATATGAAGACTAATGCCACCAGTAGAAGTACATGTAATTTGGTGTGCTTTTAAATAATTAGACTATCTGTAATCACAAAAGCTCACATCATTGTAGAAAAGTTGAAAGAGACTGATGTAGAAAAATTAAAATAGACTAATCAGAACAATGAATTACTCATAAATCATGACAAAAGAATTGCATAAGCGAACAGAACTTGATTTCAGACAAACCATCCTATACATCTTTTCAGAGAACAGCAATTAATTCAGAAAATGAAGACAATATCTTTCCTAAAAGGAAATAATACATTCTTCCAATCATCAGATAAGTGGTAAGTTCTCTGTCTTGGTCCACCTAAAACTTTAATCCTAGGGAAAATGGTGGAACACTCCCTTATTTCCAAGATGAAGATCTATCTTCTCCCCCTAGCTTATATATCTTCGTAAAAGAAACATAACACAAGTAAAATGATATTGAACTACACAGAGGTGGATTTACATCAAGATAGAGACCCCCATCATTCCACCCATCAATTTTGGACCGCCCACCTTGGCCAGAAGATATCAGAGCTTTGAGGCCAGCAATCCACACTTCTGCTTCAACTTTATCCTTGCAAATCTGTAAAGAAAAAAATAAATATAGTAATAATACAATGCAGAGGAAGTAGAACCAAGATAATGACGTAATCATACAAAGAATTTCAGAATTCATCACCAACCAAATCAAGAGACTGCTTTCCGTTGTTATAAATAAGGGAAAAGGACAGATAGTCCTTCTCAGGACTCAGATACCGTTGAAAAACAGCCTGCCAGAAGATTGAGGAAAAGCAAACAAAGAATAAAGAATGAGTTTATAAATATCACCAAGTAATAACAACACATGATGAGACATTTGAACAACATAAGATAAAATTCTAGAGATCTCACTGTTCTTTGTCCAGGAATAATTCTTAAGACAGAAGAAAGATTCAATCTTCTTTCTCCACTGCTTGAAATCCAGATTAAAGATGATTCATCCTGTGGTTTTCAGCTAATATAGTAAGTAAAATAAATAAATAAATGAAGAACTTAAACAGGTGTGATATAGCAAGGAAACACAGAAAAGTTGCAATGTAATGAGAATTCAAGAATACAAAAATATAATCATACATGAACCGGACATGATTCCATTCCTGGAAAACAAAAGTAATTCCAAAGATGATATGGTAAAAAGATATATCCTATAAGCACGTAAATGGTGACCTTAAATTAAACAAACTGCAAATTACCAACAAAAGATATAAAGGACTCATCAAACATGAGAAGTGGATATGCCAACTATGGATATATTTTACCTATTATTAATTGTGTGATTGCATATGGCATACTAGTTTTAAAATTGATTGAGCTAATTCCCATGCAGTAAGAATAGAAAGAAGATAGGCCTGAACATATTAGGAGTAGGGTATACAGTCAACACATGAATGTTAGTCAAAGAAAGTCTCAATTTAATGCTTCCATTGTCACACCATAGCAATGCCACTAGGAATGTGGAACCGTTAGTATAAGCATTATGTCAAATTTCAATCCTCCACAAGAATAAAGAGACGTTTTCTCTTATCTCAACCCATTAACATCTAACTTCACTTCAAGTTGAAATCAACGATCATGCTGTGTAATTTAACCTTTGAATGATATACATTACACATTTAGGGTTATCCCGTTCTCAATCTAACTTATTTAACTAGACTGGTTCTGACAGATAGGATGGTCACTAATCTACGACAGTAAGGTAGCTGAAAATTTCAAGAGTCAATTTCACATCACATCATAATATTAGTTTAAAGGGTACAAAAAAGAATTTAAATACTATTTAAATTTGATTCACCATTAGTCACCAAGAAGTGTTCAAAAAAAGTTGATTGATTAGTTGTCATTAATATTAGTTATCAATAATACACGCTTGAGATAAACTAAAACAGGGACATAATTTGTAATAATGCTTGCATCAAAGTGACAATGCCGAAACTTGCCCATGAAGTTATCCGTTAAATGTCATCCAAAGTATATAACTAGGACATTCATACACATATCCCCCTCCCAAAAATCAAAGAAAATCGAGAGGCAGCAATATAATACACACACACAAAGTCACCTAATATCACATCGCTCATCAATATCAGAAAGCACAAAAGAGTAGCTATCTCAATTATTGTCCAACAAGGCAGCTAATAAAGTAGAAGGTTTCAGGATTCAATAGCACCATCCCAACGTGAGCTTTCAGTTATGAGCAGCTTACATTGGAAAGCCTGAATTGATAAAACTTGGGCTTTCCTTTCCGACCACATTTAAGCAGTTGGGCACCCTTTTTCAAAGAAATCAATGCCTGGAGATTGCAGAAGTAACATGGAAAACCAAAAGGAAAGATCAGAAAGACGGGAAAATAATGTACAAGAATAATCAATGGTGTTGAATATAATCAACACTATAAAGAACTATCCAATTGACATTCCAATGGATATACAGTTTTTTTTTTTGGGAAAAGATAATCAGAGAAATTTCATCATTAGAAAATGGCATCCCAAAACGTCTATTCTTTTAAAGATTTAAAGAATAAGCCATTAATAATTTAGAATCAAAGTCACTCACAGTACACACTGAAGCATCGCATTGAAATACAAAAAGTCAGTCCCATCCTATCTTTTGAGACTCCCCAATTTCAATAGCAGTGATAAAGCATTAGATCATTCAATCAACCCTTCTTATTCAAAAGGTCCAAACTTCAATTATAAAATATAACAGCTTGAAAGTTTACTAATCATCCATTTTATTTAAAAAAAAAATCAATATGTGCTGCTGCATATTTTCATTTTGACCTTTTCTCTTCCGGTCCTCCAAGTAGAGTCAGCAGCAATTCCAACTTCCCACAGTATACAAGCAGCGGAATACACACTGATCACAATATTTTTGGCCAAGGAATTTGCCTTCAACATGAAACCCAATTACTATATTGTGTCGAAGCAAACCGAACAAAAACTCCAAGCAAGATGCGAAATTTACAATCACTAAAGCAAAAATTATAACGTTTTACAGTAAGTTTGTGACCCAGAGAGAGAAAGAGAGACCTGCTCCAAGCCACGGTCGGCATTCCCGTAGCTAGTAAGATCTGCCATTCCATGTGAAAGATTCGCCGAAACACCACCACCCTCTCCGATCGCTGGACGGAGCTCCGGTCGTCATATGCAACAATTCCAACCTCTTCGCTATGCTGCCATCCACACCCAAACCTCACCCGTTCTCTCAAACAAAACCAACTTCTTCGCTCTCAAGAATGCACGAAACTCCGTAGATCTATTCCTCCTCACGCAAACCACATGCCCAGAAACTCTATTGACAATTTCAAGTCACAGCAGACAATGCCTCAACGCATGGACTGGCTTGGACCCAAAAAGAAAACTCGGTTCTTAGACAGGGAAGAAGCAGCTTCTAGGACACATTCCGGTGGTGTACAGCTGAATGGAGATTGCAGGAGAGCATTCCGGCGAGCAATGCAGGTTCCGGCGTCGGCAAAGGGAGAAGAGGAGACAGCAGAGAGAGAATGAGAGTGTAAAAGTACAACTAGTCAAAGACGAGGAAAGAGGAAAATATTAAAAAACAATAAATAAATAAGGAAAAGCAGAAACTAACCTGAGTCTCAGAGACGAAATCATAAATGGAAATGAGAGGGAAAATATATCTTTTGGTCCTCAGACCTTTAGTCCATTTGCAAATTGAACCTCGTAGTTTGGATTTCTTTTCACATCTGTCCCAAAGATGGAGTTGAGGACTGAAGGATAAGGACGAGGACCAATTCCTATTTGCGTGCCCACTTGAACTGACAGTTAAGCGCGAGTATGACATGATATCATTTATAGAGTGTATTGACTTCAACGGCCACGATTTTAATCACGGTCTCACATATGCAGACCGATTTCTTCCATTTTTCTTTTTCAATATCTAGGCGTCCGTTTTGTAATCTCAAAAAAATTCCTATTTTTCCCGAAAATGAGAAAAGATTTATGAAGCTCAGCGGTAGTTTTCTTTTTGTTAATTATTTAAATTAAATAAACGTTGGGAGTGGAGGCACGTAGTCACGTAGTCGTAGGTGACAATAAAGAGCGGACGTTTTGGTAATTTGAGGGGGAGCAGGTTTCATGGATATATATCTATATATTGTATATCTACTTAATGCGTGCTGATGATCTATTTTGATTACTGTTGAAAAAAGGGCTAGTTTGTTTACCTAATTTAATTTTATTAATGGTTTGATTAAATATTTAAAAGAATTAATATTAACAAAATCATTATATTTATTCATTGTTTTTCTTTTGAAAAGTTTTAAACCCTTAACCTCTACTCATATCTCACCCATTATTTAAGTTAAGTTTCATTGTTTCATGCAATTATTACGATACTTTTTATAGGTATTTTTGTGTGGCTTTCTGGCTGTACTATGTATGATAATGTCTAAATCCTCGATATATTTTCTCCATGGAAAATTATTCTAAGGAATTAAATTTAAAGTTATTTTATTAAGATATCTCAAATAATAAATGCTTATAATTCTATTCATAAATTTGTATTGTTTAAGTGATAAATATTCTTTAACTTGTATGTCTACTAAAAGCAATCAGAGACAATAGACAAATCAAAGAAGATTGGAAAATGCCATAAGTGAATAGAGGAATCAAGAAAAAAAAGATGTGGAGGTAGCACATAACATGGGAGGAGTGACCTTAGGTAGGTGCATTGAGGTGAATTCAAACATACGACCAACTTTGTGCCCAATCACAACAACCCATTCTGTCTTAAAACCCATCACAACACAATCACGTTTGTTAAATAATATGTCATAACTCATCAACAAGTTGTCTAACAGAAAAAAAGATAAAGCTAATGGTAGAAATAAAATATGTATCGTGGATGGATAAAGAAGGCAAGAAAACAATGCCAATGCGACTAATATGTATTTGAGAATTATAAGCCATGTGTATAGGATAGACAGTAGAAATAAGTGTTATAGAGGAAAAAAAATTTGCCTTGTCTATCATATGATTGCAACAAGCAGAGTCAAAATACCAAATCAATTTACTAGTGGAAGTAGAAAAAGCAACAAATGGGCTAGAGGAATGAGAAATGACTATACACAGCAAAATTTCAAGTTCAACAGGAGAGGATCCTAAAGTAAACTAAGCCTCAAGTTTAATAGGGGAAGATTCCAAAGGAGATTGAGTAAGATCACATTTTTCCAATTAAAGACGGTAACTACAACCATTCAAATTAACTGAGATAGATTGATCGACCTCTGACTTCACCATTTTTTAGGAGAATAACCAGAAAAGCACCAATAAAAAAAATTTAAATATCACAAAGTAGCACAAATTAGGGAACCAACTATAGGAGGCATATTCCAAGGTTGTGCTTCACAAAGGTTGTAGTATGGACAAATTAGCTCTCACACCAAACAATAAATCAATAACCCAACTATTGAAAATGATGGATTGGATGTTACGAACTTAATGACTAAATTTCAACCCGATCCAACGGTTATAAATTTATAAACTCTAATGTTTTGAGATTGTTTTTATGAAGATGTGAAAATGACTTTATCGATTTTTCTCTCTCAAATGGTTGCACATTAATATGAATATGACCCCTTAAACTCATGACAAAGGATGCCAACGCTACGATAATGAAGACACTAACTTTTTGTGAAAAATAATATTTTATAGCTCTGGCACCATGGAAGTTGTCAGAGACCAAAGAAAGATAAAAAAAAATTCAAAAATGCCATAAGTCGAGAGAGGAGTTAAGAGAAAAGAATGTTAAGGCAGCATATGATATGAGAAGAGTGACCTCAAGTAGGTACATTAAGATGAGTTCAAATATATGACCTAACTTTATGCACAATCTCAATAACTTGTCTTATCTGAAAATTCATCACACTGTTTACATTTTTTTAATAGTAAGTACTCATAATTCAACTACTACAATTCTATATCTTTTGAAAATAAGCAACTTTTTAAAACAAGCAACTCCTAAATTCAATTGTTGGGAGTATTCCCTCTGCCCTTTTCTGGTCTATCACCTTCCACACAACTGCACAAGTACACGAGTACATGACTAACAAACTCAGCAGAATTAAGCGCGTTGGAGCCATGTTTGAGTCACATCATCATTATGTGAACCAAGAGGGGCTGGCAGCGCGTACTCTGTAAACTACAAGAGTTTATCTAAAACCTAAAGTACTTGTGCCAATTTCATAACTCATTAAAATTACATGAATTAGAGTACTAGCATCTGTTTGATTTTTGTTTTCATTTTTTTATTTTTAAAAATTATTTTACAGTACAATTAATTTTTCAAATTGCTTTTCAAAATAATGTAAAAGAAACTTTATTTGGTTATATTAATTTAAAAATTTAAAATTTGTTGATAGTGATGGTTATCTGTAATTGATAATGGTGTCTTATAATAATTATTGACCAAAGTAATTATAATTTTCAATAATCAAATGTAATGTATTTTAAAAATAAAAAATAAAATAAAAATAGCTTTAAAATAGTTCTTCTTCTTCTTTTTTGTTTTTTTAAAAAATAAAATTAATTTTAAAAACAATTAAATTCAAAACGCTCATCAAAACAAGATTTTTTTTTTAATTTTTTTGTTTTTAAAAACAAAAAATTGTTTCTGAAAAAAGAGACCAAACAAGCCATTAGTTTTCTTGATCATATTTTTATTATACATTATCATATCAACAAGTTACAAAACAATTCTTATAGGTTGTTTGGTAGTATAAAAGAGTTTTTGATAAAAAAATGAGAATGGAGATAAAAATGGACAAAGAAGAGGAAGTGATGTGAAGATATATATATATATATATATATGTATATGATTTAAAAACATGTTTAGCATGTTATTTTTTATAAAGGAATGGGTTCCATTGGTATGAAAGTAAAAAACTGAGAATGAATTCAACTAATTTTGATGAAATTGGATTTTTTGGAGAAATGAAATTCATTGTACCAAACAACCTATTTTTTCGGTTTCATTCTGGAATGCCAATTTCATGCTACCAAGTGATGCATTATATCCCTTTAAACATGATGTAGGGCTGGATCTTGTAAATCAAAAATAATATATGAACGGAAAGTTATTTTAGCTAAAATTTGATAATATTTAATTTAAAATAGTTAATGCTACCGATTACCAAATATTAGATGATAATTAGAAAGAAAATTTATGACATGAATCGAGTGTTGGATAGGGTTGAATCATGTATTTCTGTACTTTGAAGGAGTGATTGGGACCAATAAGATATTGGTGGTGCCCCTGAACCCTATAGCTTGGCAAATGACTTTGAGATCAAAACATTGATTTTGAAAGGCAAGGAAGGAGAATGTATGGTGTAGCTGCTTTGGTTGAAGCATTTAAACGCCATCGCTTTCTTATATTCATAGCCTTTAATTTTATTTATTACACAACCAATCGTTTGTTCCAAGCTAAGTCTTAGCCCCGCCCATCGATCACGTTTTCTTTTCATGAATGTATCACCTGCATTCACTTGGCAAATGGAAAGGGTTCAAATGTACTCGAGTTATAAGAAACACAAATTATAGGAAAAATTAAGCTCATAGTTCTCATAAGTTTACTCAAATTGTAATCATGTCCCCAGAGATTTAACAGTCAAAAGCGTCAGTCTCTTTTGAATTAACACCGTCTATTTTCTCATGATGTGGCTAGCATGGGGAAAATTGACTAGTCATCCCTGTCACCTTCTCAAACTCAAACGTAGCTAACCTATAACCAACAAAAGAAATAAAGAAACGACACTGCAAAACATTACAAAAATAGCCCTATCTTCCTCAATGGGGAGAGAAGAAGGATCGATAGCTCGCCTCACCTATTCCATTCAAGGCTCCACAAAAGCAAGAGAGACTGCAAGAATTTAGGGAGCACAAGAACACAATTCTGTAGAAAAAAGCATTTTATATATTGGACGATGGCCTTTTATATATATGTTGAAAAGCATTTCACATGGCAGAAGTTTGTAGGCCCGACTTGCTTTGCTTTTGATTTTGTATGGTTGTGCTTGTAATCCTCTGCAGGTGAGAGAGAGGGACAGAACATAGGAAGCACAAACATTTTATCTCTATCAACAACTAGACTGTTATGGCCTTCGAGATGCATACAACTCCACGATGCCTGAATTCTTAAGAGAAAATTAAAGCAAACCAATCCTTCGGCTACAGGGAGAAGAAACGATGCCAAAAAATCAACTATAATACCAAAACAACCCAATCGATTTGCAGGTCCCACGACAAAATAGCTTCAAAATTTCTACGTATTGATGTCAGATAGTACCACCATAGCTTTAAAATTTCTTTGAATTGCTGTCAGATACAACCTCCATGGCAGCTAAGAAGATCGCATAGCAGAGAAGATTGCATCTCCGCAGCTTCAAGCTTTCTCTATTCTGACCTAACAACTCAGTCGCCAAGAACGAACAACTTTTTGTCCTTGTCGCCGAACGATTTCCTCTTCATTGGAGTCGGACCGAATCGTCGAACAAGAACTACGTTTTTATGTCTCTAAATTTGATTCCTCTTTGTG